TCAATATTGAATGTTACACAATTACGTGATTATAATTTATTTGTTTAAACTTTATATACCTTCTTTTGTATAAAAATGTAATATCAGAGATATGCAAAGTGGGTTAAACATAGAATATATATATATATATATATATATATATATATATATATATATATATATATATATATATATATATATAATCATGGATAAAAATAAACCTTCGTATGTTATTCTATGATCTAGATCTTTATCGTGTTGTAATAATGTAAAAATACAAAATGTCATCACATTCATTATCCTCGGAAAATCGTAAAATCTGACTAAGATAGCAAAGTACATATCATCAGTGCCAAAAAAAAACTAAATAAAATCGTATACCAAGCCACCTAACCAGCGTCAAAAATAAGACCCTCGTCTTATTGAAGAGAAGCCTATGCAGAAGATACTAATAAAAACTTGAAACTACTAAATAATAAATAACTTAGATCATAATCTAAATGACTCACTAAATTTTAAGAATATACTCGTAAAAAGCTGGCGATCCGACTCGGCTTCGCACGAACGGATAGTTTTCGAAAATAAAACATAGCCTATGTTATTCGCTGATAATGTAGCGTTCTATAAGGGAAAGAATTTTTAAAATCAGTTGTGTATTTTTTAAATTCATCCCTTAGAAACAAACACACAATCAAATCGCTCCTCTTTATAATATTAGTATCGATACAGATACTATTGAAAAACATTTTATATACTCGTACTTATTACAATAATTTAGCTCAGCACTAATTGATATAATTTTGTACAAATGGCGGATTGGGAAAGCCATTCGAATAAATCCACTGCTATTTTTGTGAATATAGCTTGTAATTTAATTATGCAATAGATTATTTTATCTGATAATAAATAAATAATGAAAAACTTTTTATGGCACTTAAAGTAAAACAATAGTAATAAACTATAAAATTTAAATTTACATTCACACCAAAAATAAAAAATAAATCGATATATGTTATCTTTTACTACTTTCACTCTAAGAATGGACAATCATCTGTATAAACTACTTGCGAGGTGACACAGCGGAATCTCTGTTATCCAAAGTCGCTCTCTCTGTGACCTCTAAGCGTTATTTCACAGACCCTGATTCATATTGCATAACTATTAATAAAATACAATAACTACATAATAAAAAATCCGGAATCAATATTACGTATCTATGTTTTAATTTTTTTTTATAATACTAAAATGGCAAACAAGCAGATGACCCACCCGATCGAAAGTGATAACCGTCGCCTGTTAATGTAAACAGAATCATAGATATCACGAAATAGACTGTATTGGAATCCACAGTACCCAGTCTTCAGGAATGGCAAAGTATAAATTGTTGCCAATCCGAAGAACTGTACATACTATGATTACCCCATCATCATCATCATCACATTAATCGTTCACTAGCCACTGCTGAACATAATCCTCTCTCATAAATAATGGTTTTGCCAGTAGTTTCACGCTTGGCAGGCGAGTTGGCAACCGCAGTCAGGCTTTCGGTGACATTTTATGAAGAACACTGCTGCCTATCCCTCGATCCGCCTCCTACAACACCCACGAGAAAGAAAGGGGTGACTCATTTTATGCTGGGACCACAAAGCGGTACGCTGCTTTCATGCTCTAATCCACAAAGCTCATAAGCACAGTTGCGTCGCGGCAACAATACGAGTGAAACAGAGATACCCAAGTAAGCAAGGGAGACTTTGTACAAAATTCGTTTGCTTGGGCACCTGTGTGTGGCAGTTGTGTTTGCATGGCTGTGTTTCGGTTTGAAAGGTAGGATATGGCAGTGAATTAACAGGTTACAGAAGAATATCACCTGAGTCTTCAGAAATGGCAACGCATGGAGAGTATCATGGGCGAAACAGTATACACTGTTATGTTCATGGTACTGCTCATGTCTATAGGCGATAGTTACCACTTTCCATCAGGTAAGCCGTCAGCTTGTTTGCCATTCAAAGTTGCATAAAAAACTCTAATAATGTATTACTGAATATTTAAATTTGTTGCAAAGATATACAAAATACATACGCACCATTTGTCGTCAGCGAATTTACGAATCTTCACGATATTTATTAAAATTCTTTATAGATTATCGGTTTTCTAGTGATTAACGGATAAACCAATAAAACAGATTCGGCCTCAAAGCGGTAAAGGATTCTTTTAACGGTCCAATTGGATTTTTAAACCATAAGATTAAAGGCACCTTGGACTTTATCGGATCTTTATCTTCAGGATTATTTTTACAAACCGCTTTTTATTGAATTTTATTTAATCTGTGGTTGTGTATTCCGAAATATGTTTAGATTTTTATACTATAAGAGACAAGTCAAAACTATATGAATGTAATAGTTATCTTTGAATACGTGTAGTAATTGATAAATAAAGAATTACAAGTCGTGTATATTTCTACCCACGTTGTTTAACCAACTCCAACAGAAAAAGCTTGGATATACATTTTATATAGACAAAGATACAGTATATATGGAACTTGTTAATAATATATTAAATAAACTACAGGACTACTATTAAGTGTATTTATGTGAAACCCAATACCATACTTCCATGTCAAACTCTTTTTTCCGGACTTTGGCTTAGTAATCAAGTTCAAAAACTTAATTAATTTTAGACTTCAACCCTAAGCAAGTTTGTATGGATCATCATAGACACAATTAAAATATTTGTCATCAAAAGTTAATTGATACAGATATCGCGAAACAGCAATAAAGTACAATTTAGTTGACAAACTACATCCTTTTTGAAGTCGGTTAAAATTACTTCCCTACCTGGAATCACAATAGTGAACAAGATTTATTTTATTTTACGTACATTCCGTTCTATATATTTGATTATGGTTGTCACAAAAAGGAAATTGTTTTATTACGGGCAAATGAGAAACCTTTATTTACAAAATACGATATGTTTACCTTCGTACATATGCTTTGGCGTATCTACAAGTAACCAGTTTTCCTAAACATAATTAATTTATTTTAGGTCTCGTATTGTTAGTAACATGCGTAGGTTTGCTATGAACGGGCAATTACGTAGTAATTTAGACCCTAATGGAGACTAATTAATTAAATGTATCAAAACCTATACATATGACGTAAACGTTAACAGCGCAGGTATAAATTTAAATAGATGTAGCAACATAATTTTTTAACTCTAAATTAGGTTCATACTATTTTCAACTAGTAAAAAAATATACCTAGCCCTATTGACTTCGGCTATATTTCGATTCGGAGTTCTTTTTAAAAGTGCCAACAATCACATCCATACCCTGGTCCTTAAAATTTAAAATATAAATATATATATATATATATATGTATTTCCTTGTATTATGAAGAGCTTGGTTTACTACTAGTTTACTAGGGTCATAAACCAGAAAACCCAATCCTGAGCCAGTTCAGACTAGTTCGTTTCATAAATTGGTCCGTTTGGGAATAGAACCTTCTACCTTTTTAACATAGAACGACGCATTCATCACTGCGCTATGAGGATCGCCAAATTAAAATTTATGAATTTAAGACTGCAATTGTGGCAACATTTGTTATTTCTATTTCAAAACTAAACTATTAAACTAATTTTGATAAAATTTCTATGAGACCAATCTGTAAGTATACCCGTTTGATAAAAAAGAATTTTCCAAGTCGGTTTATAAGTAAAGGAGTTAATAGTTAGTTAATTAGTTAGGAGGAGGATGAGGTAACAAACATAAAAAAAACAACCGAACTGAGATTCTCCTTCTTTTAAAATCAGTTGAAAAATTTACAAAAGATAAATATAGTATTATTACAAAAAGAAATTTACTGTTTTTGAGCTTTTGTAACATCAAAACTATAGTAATAGGCTAGTTTGGAATAAATTTATAAATTTCACATAGTCACAGTACTATGAAGTCCGAGAAATATGAAGATCATGGTGCTGTTCATATCTAGGCATCGATTACATCTATCTATTAAGTTGTTCGCCTTTTTAATTTGCAAAAATTCAGATACTTATGTCATCTATCTGTATCTATGTCTATGGTCGGCAATGTATGTTCTCAACAAGAAAATTCCTAAACAATGTAGACAGTTCGTGGAATAGTTCGTAGATATTGTAATGAAATAGAAATTGTAGAATTCCTAACATTCTCTCTAAACTCATAGCATTGCACTCAGTTAACAGAGAATACGTTGCAATTATTGTAATTAATTATAAAGTATTGGATAAACCATAAAATATTATTAATTAGTGTTTAGATATTTATATATACGATCACGATCGAAGTACTACTATTTGCAAAAAAAAGGAATTATTATATGGAGGTTAGATACAGATTACATATTTTATGCAACTTATAATGGCAAATAAGCTAACGTTCCATGCGATGAAAAGTGATCATCGTTGCCTATAGACATAAATAGTACCATAGAGATAACAGACAGTGATATTATTATACCTACGAGTACAAATAATAACAACATTTTGGCATACAAGCATAAAGTACCCTTATTTCTCTTATATGTGAGTGATTTTTCATCTGACATTATTTATTTCTATATAATATATAAGTACATACAGCAGATTATTAGAGTATTATATGTATGTTAATTTATAAATTACTATTTTCTATTTTTTTTATTACTATTTATTTGCTCATCGCATAGCTCCATCAATTATATTTTCTGTTATTCCTGTCTAATAGTTGACTGGTAGATAATCCCATATAGCGTTAAATTCCGTAATTACTGTCTAGATGTATCAAATTTAGTACATAAATAAATAATTATATTAACAAATTATTTTTATTTCTTATCAACATACCCATAATTACTTCCCTACAACTCAACAGTTAAGTGATTCAGTAACCGCAAGCACAGAGTAAGGGGTAAACTCGACTCTCCAGTTTCTAATTCATTATTAAGAACAATCATAAACTTTGTAATGAAGGATTTTAATTAAAAGTTGCCCATTTGTGTTTGTTTCAGAAGGACAAGGTGCAGGGTTGCTCTCATTTGGTAAGTGATCATATGCATTATGGCATTCGCTATAAAATAGTATATTTTAATATTTTTAAGTTTTTAATTATAACAAAAGGTGAGCCTATAATCTAGCATCTATCTTATTAAATCCATCGTGACTGAGTAACAAACATTCAAACAATACGTCTTTATACAATTTCACATTTATAAACTTAATAGAATTTAAATAAACAAATATAAAGAAATATCCAAATCTTTTATAAATATTTTGATAACTGCAATAAACTGATATTTTCAAATTCATGATCGATTATTTAAAAAAAATATCGCTCGCTCTCTGCTAAAGAGAGCATGTGAAACCACAGTCCTGTAAGCCAAATCAGAGGCCTCCATATATAGTAAAGATAACCTATAAAATCTATATACTAGGAGCATCTACTACAGTTTATAGTACTAATATTATCTCTATAAACGACACATATTTTTTTATGCAACTTAGAATGGCAAACAAACTGATAGCCCACCTAATAGAAAGTGGTAACCGTCGCCTATAGACATGAACAGTACTATGAACATAATAGAGTATACCGTTTCGCCCATGATACCTCCTATGCGTTGCTATTTCTGAGGACTAAGGTGTTTCTGTACCCTGTTAATTCACTACCATATCTCGCCGAAACACAGCCTTGCAAATACAACTGCTTCACGGTAGAAATATGAATGGGACAGAGGTACCCAAACAAACAACTTTTGTACAGTCTCCGTCTGGTGAATGTACATGGATTGTTGTATATTGCACTCGCTGGTCTAATCTGTTCTTCACCCGCTGTATCTAATTTAAAATAGTATATAATACAGTTATGTAGATTAAAAGAAGACGCAGAATTACTGACTGACTGTTACATGTATCAATGCATACCCGAAACCACTAAATCAATAATTTTAAAATTTTGTAAGTAGTTTCTTTATATAGCGAAGATGAATAATAAAGACAACAATAAGAAGACTTCCAAATTCAACCCCTAAGAGAGTGAAACGGGGCTTGAAAGTTACACGAAATTTCGTCAGTTTAAAAGTTAGACACGTAAAATATTAAATTTAGGCTCTTGGTTTAATACATTTTATTTTTTATTTGTGTTAAATTCACTCTTAAAAGAATAAAATAGGAGATGAAAACTGTAGGGGGCTTCTATTATAAATGAAATTCGAGATACGAAACTTTAGTTTTAGATTTCTGATTAGAAATAAATAAAATACTTTTCAGCGTCTTTAGAACCCTTTACGGAAAAGTGATTCCCGCGAAAAATTTAATATCACACGCGAGCGAAGCCAGAGCGAAGGGCAAAAGCTAGTAATATATTTTATTATATATAGTCTATTATAATAGCCTGTGAAAATCTTCACCCCACAACATCTTACGAGTTTTAACGGGTAGACTGCATTAATTTATAAATATTTTAAAGGTTATGTTCCTTATAAATTATAGAGCTTTACAGTTCCTCCCCCTTTTGATAAACGCGAAATATTTGATGACGCGGGAGGTTTGATCCTTTCAGAGGTTATAACGGTAATGATTATTACCTACTTTACCTGAATATTGTTATTTAATTATTTGAACAATCTATAATATATCTTTTTAACTTCTCAATTTACATGTATTTTATTTTTGCTATATTTCAATTTTAATGAAAGACATTTTTATAAAAAAAACTAATTTTTACCCGCAACTTTGCCCACATATCCAGGAATATATTCACTGAAAGGGATAAAAAATAACATGTCTGCATCTCATATAGTACGTGTATACCAAACTTCATAGTGATCGGTTAAGCCGTTACGACACTAAGAGGTAGCAAACAAACTCACTTTCATATTTATAATATTTATTTATTTATCTATTTATTTATTTATCTATTTATTTATTTATCTATTTATTTATTTATCTATTTATTTACTTATCTATTTATTTATTTATCTATTTATTTATTTACTTGCATTATTTAATAAAAATAACCATATTTTCTTTTTTAAAAACACGTACATTAATAGCAACTAACGTCGATACTACCAATAGGTGTTCCAGTTAGATTAACTATCGTGTCTTATTAAATTCGACTTGAACATCGGAAACTATCGAACCGGCGCCGGCGGCCGGCGGAAATCAAACTAATCGATTTTCATTTCGCCGACAGGAAATTAAATCCTTTGAGAGTCATTCCCGATAACGAATTTCGGCTAAGCACGACACGTGCTCAACCATTTTAGTTCGGAATATATGTTTTTATCACACTGTAAACCTAGAACGCCGCGCGAAACTATTCATTTTTACAAGAGCTTATAAAAAAAATCTATATACTTATATCAAATTTTAATTTAAATTATGCTTTATAGATAGTAAACGGCTGAAATAATAAATGTACAATATATTTTTATTTTCTAATACTTAAACTATTAAGATATTCATCTTTTTATGTTTATAGGCACCTTTTTCACACAAAATGAAGTTACCACGATACAACCGACACAAGAAAAATTATTAAATTTAATCCTTTCAATTTAGACCTCACGGCGTAATAAAGCGTAGGCATAAATTCTAATAGGGTTCATTTTCTCAATAAACACAAAAAAATATACCATTACAAAGAATTTCCTTAACTAAAGAGAAACGTTTCTCCCCTTTCATGTTCAAAGAATTCTCCTAAATAAATTCCCGTCAGGCAATATTAAATTGAGTTTTTATTTCATTTTATAGTTGAGCAATAGTTTGCATAGAATTTCGGATCAAAGCGGCAAACAAGCCTTAATGGGAGGAAAGGTTTGTTAGTAGTACGCACTACCAGTTCCATTGCTAAAAATATACTCTGTCAGGTCGACCTCCACGTAGTCCCCCACTGGAAACTATCGTGCTGAATTCCAGATGTATACGATAGGTTAACTAGTCTACCATTTCATTTTCACCTATCACCCCTCACTGATAGTCACCATATACCGTTGTAACAGACGGGGTTAACATTGCATTATCAGCCATTAAAATAAAAAACAAGCCTTCTTTTTATATATGTTGCATTATAATAGACCAGTAGATCTAGTATATCCGGTGCCATGACAACACGATATCTCATATAAGGTTTCGTCCTTTTAGCTCGGGAAGTATTTGTATTAATGTTGTTTATAAAAGTAATAGGATCCGGCCGGAGTGGTGTATGACATGTGCAAAGGTTCGATTTGTCCATGAACGCAAGGCGCCCTCCCTCGGGAAATTAAGAAAGGAGGTCCACTGACCACGTCCCCGTACTAGACATAACTATCTGAGCGGTTGTTCACATCGAAATCTATTTCAGAGTAGTACATAAGCCCTCTGACGGCCAAGAATTGAAATCTGGATCCCCCGGGTTTCATATTGTTGCTGATTTGAAATGGGATTCGGTTGTTGAAAATAATATTGTTAATAATCATCCGCGTCTAATTGACGTAAAATTCCACTGCACTTTATTATATATTTATATTAAAAAACAATAGATATATATATATATATATATATATATATATATATATATAGTATTAATGTTATTATTATTTAATAAATGACAAGCTAAAAAAAATTCTAAGAAGCAAATCATCTAATTTCACTAATATCGAGAATAGATAACATTCAGAAACATTTATTACATACTATTTATTTTATTTCATATGATTTTTCTCTTTAGATTATTTTAATGTTATTATTATTTATGGAATTCCAAATGGGATAATGTTTTCTCAAAAAGCAAAATGATTTTTCTGAGCTTGACAAGAGGCCATTCTCAGAAAAGTTTATTATCTAAGTATTATTTCATTCGTAAAATTTATTCAATGGATTTATTTAGTATGGGAATAACTATAACTCATATACTACTAGTATAGTGCTGTTTGTAATACATAAATACGATTATTACAATCTAAGATATAGATAGGTTGTATAAAACAATAAATAATATTAAACACACCACGTTTATAACAACAAACACCAAAGATCTGTCCCAAATGTTTACTGTGGTGCCCAAGAAATACATACTAATTTGTAGAATATTACTGCTTGTGATTACGATCCCAAAGGGTTTCTTTCATGTTTAATTTACCTCCATCGAATGATCACGAAAATTAAATTCTTTGAAGCGTAAAATGGCAAACTCAAATAGAATTTTGCACCACATAAATATGTTTTATTACACAGAGATGAAGGATTAAGAGGTTTCAAAATACTCTAAATATACAAAAATATGTTCAAATATCTAATTTTAGAACACTAAAGAAGTTCACCAGAAACTTATATATGAGTATGAAGGTTAGAATATTTTACATGTATTTTAAATATTCTACATATTTTAAGTACAAAATGAGTCTTAATTAAATAAAAAGTCCGTCTTCTTCTCATGCTCTCCCCTAGGGGGAGCCGGGGAAACCTGTCCGGGGTTTTTTACCCCTCTCAGGTGGTCTCTATCCGCCGCTCATTAATATGAGCGGGTCGTTGGGGTGAACCTGGTTCTTAACGTGCCGCCCCGTTCACTCTGCGCGGTCTTCGCCTGCCGGGTGAGACCCCGTTGGGGGAGGCCCAGCAAACTGCCAGCGTTTGAATGATCGGGACGGCATTTTCAACCCTCATCAGAGGGGGAGGGGTCTTCATGTGTCCATGGCGTCTTCCTCTGGGTTTTCTTGCACGCGAGCTATTAGTTCGCGTGCGTAGGGCTTGTGGTCCGGAGGTCGCGCGTGCAGGGGCGCTATTCCCTTTAGGTGGTCCCAGCCCGATGCGTCCGCACGCGCGAACATCTTCGTTGCGAGGCTGCCGATGAATTCGTTCAGCGGAGGGATCTTTAGGTCCCTCTCCAAGGTGGCGTTCCTTACGTATTTATGCGCGCCGGCGATGGTGCGCAGTGTAAGGTGTTGTTGCGCGCTGAGTTTCTTCTTATTCGACGCAGACGCGTAGACATACCATGCCGGCGCTGCGTACGTAAGTCGCGGTCGGATGTAGGTTTTGTAAATGGCCGTCTTTATTTGGA